GTAAAAGCTATTATTAATAACAGAGTTTATTATAATCAAAAACCTCGGTAGCGGTTTGACGTTTGCCGTAAACGTCAATCTAAAGGTCTCTACTGCCTGGGTCTGCCGCTCAAGGGCTTTGGGCTTATGACAATCGAGGATTAACTGGATAAACGAAAATTGTATTTCTGGGGCGACTTATATTAATGAGCCATGGTGTTCTATCTCCAAGAATCTTTCTCGTGAGTTTGATACGATGGAAATGGAACTGTACAGACACACTGAAAGGATAGCTTTCTGATGTTGAACGAATGATAAATCTTTTTGAAATATATGTAAGCTAATATATGGAGACTCTAACAGAGTTTATCTTATTAGTTTCAATCAAAGCAAGCGTGGAAGAAAATAGTTAACCAACATGTGTTTGAACAACACAAAAGTTATCTTGAACAAACTCATTGAAATGATTAAATTTCATACCAAAAAAGAAATTAAACAATGGTGCCTTCTAGCAAACGAAATTCCTGAGTGAAGGACCATCACTTTTTTTCTGCGATTTTAGGAGCGATTTTTGTCTTCTGATGGATGTGAACAAGTGGTTAACTCATCCACTCATTTACATCCTTCAGAAAAAGAAAATGATTTACTGCAAATAACACTGCAGCAAAAATTGCATGTGTAAACAGGCCTTCAGGTGCAGGGATTGATTGCAAAAGGGTGTGCAGGTAAGTGAAGACTGAAGAAGCAAAATCTACCAGCTATTGTTTGTCACTCCTTCCAACAATCAGGCAACCATGCATCAACCATATCTTTGAAATAAATGTGTGTGCATGCATGATTTTTGCTGAGATATGAGGCTGTAAGACACAAAAATAATATCAGACTACATTTCATGTACTATGTAATTTTTCCCGTCCAGAGGGGGGAGATATAATATACTACAATGCACTGGGATGTCCAAAGGAGTAGAGGGGCTAATTTCTAATTTCCTGGGATGTTTTCTGGAATAACCCAATCTATGATTGAGGAAAATGGTTTAAACTAAACTAAACTTAATTAAATCAATACATTGACACATTCTAACAGTTGCACACTTGCACACCTGAATTTTTGTCTTGCACACCCGACATTTCGACATTTCAGTATGTGGTGAGTCAGTTCACTAAGACATTCGGAAGTCATCAGAACTCTTAATTATTTTTCTGTGTCTAAGGGGAGAATGCTGGTTAACCCCTCTATAAAATTTGTCCCTGCCAAAGTTGCGAAAAATTTTACGCGTTCACTACCGTGAAAAATCCGCGTCAGAACTCTATCAAACCCTTGCGACAATATTCCAGGACCCAAAAGAAACACCTCAACAGTTTCTCCTACGTTCCCTTGACTTGAGAAATAAAGTAGGCTTTGCAAGTAAAGAGTCTGATTGTGAAGTTCAATATGATGAACCACTTATTCAGAAAACATTCATGAAGTCTTTCGAGACAGGGTTACGAGACGATATTTTGGCGGCAAATTTACGTCCCATTTTGCGGTTACCTAGTTTATCTGACAAGGAATTAATGAAAAATGTCAACGAATTGGCATCTCACCAAGCTGAGAGGCAGAGTAAGCTTGCATGTGAAAGGCGTTCTGCCAAGGTTAATGCGTGCGAAGTGGACGGTGCGGAAATTAAAATGCGTAAAAATGGCGGAGATAATGATAAAATTTTGGCCGAGATTCGAGAGATCAAATCTGACCTTGAGAGTTTAAAAAAACAAGGCAGCAACGCTAATGCTAATCGGGAAGTATCGTCAGGCGGTCGGAAATTCCCGAGGGAAACACGATACCGTGGTAGAGGGTGTCTAGCGTGTAAAGAACGGAAAATTGGCGGCACGTGTCAACATTGTTTTGCCTGTGGCGAGTTTGGCCATATTGCGTCAGAGTGCGCGAAAAATTTAAAGGCTCAGGGAAACGAGTACCGGCAACCCCGCCGTCGGGACAGGGTCTAGCCGGAAAATCAACATCCCGTCAGTGTAATTATTGTTTAAAGAACTTGAATAAAAACTTTTGGCGATGCAAATGTTGTAAATTGGTAAGCTATTGTAACCAGACATGTCAGAGAGCTAATTGGCCTCATCATAAAACATTGTGTAATGCCATTAAAAGGGAAGTTAAGCGTACGACTCAAGTGTCACAAGATAACCACTCTGAGGTTTTCATGAGCCACCTCACTCCAAAGGAAAATGAAAAGTTGATTAGTCTCGTAGGTCAAAGATGTACGGTTACGGGGAAAATTAATGGGAAAACGGTTTTATGGGACACAGGAGCCCAAGTATCTATTGTTTCAGCCAAGTTTTTAAAAGAGAATTTTCCAAACTGTACTATTAAAGACGTGAGTGAACTGTTAAATTGTGACCTTACACTGACGGCAGCCAATGGTAACACTATCCCTTATACAGGATGGGTGGAGTTAAATTTTCAAGTTGGGGAATCTGAATACGCAATTCCTGTCCCATTCCTAGTAACGAATGAGAACTTAGAACTGCCTTTGGTCGGCTTTAACGTAATTGAACATTTAATAAAGACAAATAAATTG